GATGAAAATAGTGTCGAACGCGATAAGCGGTAAACGATCGAAGATGGAACGGTTGAACGTACGAGAAACCGAGGTAAATTTAAGCGAAGCGAAACTTTAATTAGGACGTCTCAATGATGACCTACTGTCGGCGGCGTATCGGTCCGCTCGTATCGCTTCTATCTCGACAGCAGCGCACAGCGATGCCGTAATACAGGTGGAAACCTTGATGCGTTCCGACGACGCGATAAATCACGAACCGTATCTACAAGAGGCACGGACGCCGTATTCTGTATTGCCGCGTCCGCGTCCGAGAAAGAAGAGGAGGCCCGAGGAAGAGATATTCCGTTTGTATAATTCCGCGGAGGACGAAAGGAGAAGATCGAAAGTCGGGGGATCATAACGGGCTGGACGAACGAAGAAATGCATAGACTTTCATCGGTTCAGGAAGTCATTTATTCACGGATCACGAACAGTTGCTCTGCTACAGCTTCTCCTAAGCGTGCGCCATCAAGGATTTTACCTGAAATATGCTGAAAATCAACCGCCGAATAAGTCGACGCATATTCCTAATATAACTAGATCTTTTTAAAAAGAGAAATTGTAATCTGTGTATGGAGGCAAAGCATCGACGCTAGAACCACCAAATCAGTCGGAATGACAGGTTCCTGATTTTTTTTTTTTTACAGATCCTGTTATGACGATATCTATGTGACAAATTTTTAGATAAAGTTCTTCATTCAAAAATTTATTAAAATAGAAATTAAAACGAGTATCTCCAATTCTGTTATCGTTATAAAACAATATACGGGGTGAGAAGAATATTCTATCCCTTCAAGAAAAATGCTCCTCTCTTTCTGCAAACGTCCAATATCCATATTTACTTTGTTTTTCGAATGATTTATGTTTTCTTACGTCTATTAATACGAGATAAGAAATATTAGGAACGAGGAACCCTGACATTGTTATCATTAGCAGATACAGAAAAAGAGGTGGAGAAAGCGGTGAAACAGAAGGCATTAAAATTCTTATTATCGAAGGTAGAAGGTCTCTCATCGATCATTCGAGTCGACGAATGAGTTAAAAATAGCTCTACGAAATGCGTGGAACAAAATTATAATAATCAAGTGTGCGACAATCATTAATAATTTTTGAAAAAGACTTCGAAAATGTGTTGAAGCAGAAGAAGATGATCGCTTAATGTAAATTTTGTCGACCAGTTTTCTTACTAATATGTTTGTTGAACCGGTGAAACATATAGAATATTAAATCGAAGCGTCCTCATTTCCAGACCAGCTAAATATAAATAAACGGATTCTAGGGACAGAATGTTCTCCGCACCCTATACATTATTCGCGTTTAGGGCTCTGCAGTTTTAATGTTAAAGCCTAAGGACTGAAAGAACTCGTTAAACAAACCAATTATCAAATATCAGAAAAGTATTTGCTTCGTTCCTAAACGACGAAATGTCCTAACATTTCGTCGTTTAAATTTTTTATCGTCGCTTGTTTTATAAAGATTTAATAATGCGCGATCATTAATTAAGTAAAGGAGGGATATCAAATTATGAAAAATGTAATACCAACCTAAACCTATAACAGCAACCTAAATAGCTGATGGGTAGACTGCGGATTTTACCTTATTTTTCCTTTATGGCAAACATGAACGAATATGGTAAAACTTTGCGAGTAGGTTTAATTAGGTTTAATTTATCAATAGGATGCTGATTATTCTCCATCGCGCGATGAAAACATTTCTATGATTTTAGGGATACTGCTGTATTTTCTACTTATTGAAATTATTAGATAAAGGAATATATATTTTGGACTTCTGTTATTTACCGTTGATTTCGACAATTTTTGTTTCGCATAAACATCTGCACTGACAAGTATTTGCCTTGAATCTCGCAATATTCGTTACATTACAATTTATTTTCCGCACGTAGGCAACACCTTCTTCTGTCAAAAATTAAAAAAAAAAAAAGAAAACAACCAACGAATACGATGTTCATCGAAGACAGTTAACTGATTTGTCGAATAGCTGATGGACGAACCAATTTATTCCATAACCTGGGCAATGATTGAGTTGTAATAGGGTATTCATTCACCATATTTCATGGATGAAGGATTAGGGTCGATTTTAGAGCAATAACTGGCAACGAAAAAATGTTAATGCAGAAATGGAAGGAAGCAGCGAACTCGTCGAGTCATCAACCGACCAGGCTCCGTCTATCCCGGGACCATGAATGTATGTATGAGGATCGACGAATGATGCCAGGAGATTCGAAAATCATAATTTTCTACCTGGGGTTATAGAAAGAGGCAGAGCGAAGGAGGTTGCAATTGGTACCGAGTACTTAAGACGGAAACGATGTAATCTAGCGAGAATAAGAGCGACTGCTTCCTCCAGGTATCGACTCGCCGTTGTTGGACTTTATTACTTTGCTTAAGCGGAGAATGTAACACAGCCGTTTGGCTTTGGCGACTGGAATACGACTTTGCCGTTGCGGTCTAGCTGGAACTGAGATTCTTTCGAAGTTAAACGAAACTTCGAATTTTTTACGTTTTGCACACTGGTGACGTGACGTTTGCAGCATACGTTTGCCCTCGACGCTATATAGATTTCCTTCGTTTTTATGCGAACGCAGGGAGTGTCGTTCTTCAGTTGTTAACTCTTTGCACTGCAGCGACGCGTCAAAATCGCGACGAAGATTTAAAATATAATTAACCAAATATGGATGTTGTGCACTTCCTCCAATCGCTTGCCGTTTAAAATATAAAAAGTATTTTTATTTTTAGTTATCTTAACGAAGTAATTTACTGTTTACACTTGTTTCTTTATATATATATTTTCTTTTTTAATATAACTGAAATTAATTCTTAATAAACTTGATTATTCGTGTACGTACGTATTTCAGTAAAGTCAATGTGTCTACAAAAATATGGACTTCCTCTTGTTTTCATTTTTTATGATATGTTATTATTGAAAGAGGTATAAGTCTGTTTGAAGCTAAAAAATCGTTTAATTTCTTTAACAATTTTAATAATTATAGTTGCATAATAAAGCTAACAGGTTTATAATGTTAAAAACATCACCCGAATTGATTAACTTTTGCCAATATTTTTAATTTGATTCAAACGCATACCTTTAAATATCTCTATATATGGAAAAATGGATCTATGCCACTTTCAAAAATAATTGTTCATATGTTAGTGATATTTCCCTTATTTCTATTTTCATAATCAAGCTATGTTTGATAATTCGTTCCATTTTTCATAGATGTCAATGCTGCATTTTCAAAAACGGGCGATACTTCGAAATGGAGCTATCATATGTAGATAAATATTGCCAATTATATAGGCCGTTGTTATTTCGTATTTATGTGGCACTTTTTTCTTATTTTCGCTTGTAGAACATGCTGACACCATTTGGCTGAGAAAATCTGGGTCACCCTATACAGGGTTGGTTACCACATTTTGCCATCTAGGTTTACGTCATTATTGCTGCGCGTAGCGAATGTTTCAGATGAAAGTAAATGGTTTCGAGAGGAGCACATTCTAATGATACTAGTTTTCTCGTAGGTGGACGTGTAGAGGACGTATGAAGGTTATTAACGTTTTTTTAAAATGGAATCATATTTTTTATTACATCAACTGATGCATCTTGAAGACTAACCTATTTATGTTAAAGAATCATTGGTTATGGTATGCTCCTTCTTTGGTTCCCGGTTGCTATGTGTATGCAGTAATTTTTATCAAAATTCTTGTAAAGTTTTTATCATTTTACGCAAATCAGTGTCTTGGCTCAAATCATTTTTTACAAGAATCAGATACCTAAATTACAGTAAATTTTCTCCAATTGTTCTTCAGCTTGTAAACAAAAATGGACAATTTGGGAAGAGGAGATACGATTATTCGATCAACAAGTATAAAAACGAAACGCCATCGTCTCTCCTTTTTCTAAATTGTCCATTTTTGTTTACAAGCTGAGGGACAATCGAAGAGAATTTACTGTATTCATATTGAATTTATTTGAAGACACAGTAGGCACAATCTTTGTCAACGATTCAATTTTGTCGACTTTCTCTCGAAAACACAGATTACAAAGCGAGATACAGTCTTCCATGTAAAAGTATGCCAAGGATAAGCGCAGGCATTATTCAACGTGAAAACCTTTGGTTGTTTAGATATAAAAGTCCTTTCCATTCGAAGTGGAGCATATTAGCATGCAATTAGGAGCAACGAAGGATTGGAGACCATACACCTGTCTGTCCTGCTCCACCGCCTCCTATCCGTTCCCGGCAGCTAGGAAAAGGATTACCGACACACTCGATCACCGATCACCGATCACCGATCACCGATCGAATGCAAAACGCATTCCGTCTCGCTGCAGCCAACGTTACAGTATCTATAATCCGATCGCGATAGTCGAGCAGGCAACAGAAATGAAAATTATTACATTTTTGATAAACAATAGTTTCTCCAAGTCCAAGAAGCATTTTCCGCGCATATTAATCGTTACCAAATTTATTTTATAATCGTTGTAGCAGAAGTTTGAAAAAAAATCGATTCGGGAGAACAGATTAAACTTAGAGAATAATTATGAATACAAATTTGAAATCGTGTCTTTTCATCACTTTGGTAAAAAGATCGCGTTAATTAAGACGAGCTCCGTGACTCCGTGACACTTTCTTATTCGTCCGTAACTTCGGAGTTGCCAAACCGAATCTCCTTTAAAAGGAACAAATATAGCGTTTGTGTTCTACTTTCATGATACGATGCGTAGGTTAATTGCTTGCAATTAACTCCTTTCATGAAGGAATATTTTTATACGAAATCTATTTTTAGATGGCTATGTGCTTATGTATACATATATTTTGCGTGGTTTGGAGATAAATAAGGCAATGAAAATAACGGTAAGTGATCGTGGAATCATGATTATAAGGGTTTGATAGAAACGCATTGAGAATGCAATTACTTTGTTTAGAAAAAGCTAGTAAATTCTAATTTGTTTATACTTACGTCAGTGTCTTTTTTATTGAAGTGACAGTAATCATAGGGGAGAAGGATCTGTAACAAAAATTGTAATAAAATTAATATATGGATGTAAAAGAAAAACGCTAATCTTGCAAAAGTCACAATTCTTATATTGGGCACTCTTGCTATATTTATTAATTATCAATCTATTTTGCGAAACGAATTTCACATCCTCAACTTTGAAAAATATCTTCACCCCCAAACATGAAAACGGGTAGCTATAAAAATATTGAATATTTTATAATAACCTATGTTCTAAACAAGAACGCATTGAATATTTGTTGACAACCTACCTATTAGAACAAATACGTATTGAACATTTTCCGATAGCCTGCGTCTTAGAATTGGTTGACGTCTCTTGTCACTAAAATGATTTTGTCGCGTTGCTTGTTCGCATAAATACTTGATTTATCGTTACATCTATGGCTCGTTTCGAAAACAGTTCAATATATCAACGTTTAACGGACGAACTCTAAAATTATCATGAATTCATACGAGTTCACCCTGCCCGGTTGTTCCGAATGCGAAATGCGATACTGAAACGCACGATGTACAGTGATCTGTAGCTGCGAATATATTAGTTCAACTTACGGTGATTATTTGTACCGAGTCACTATGCATCACTATCCATAGCTATTTATTAAAACACAGTGCACGGGATGTAGTTACGGGATATTCAATATCTGCCAAGAGCCAGTTTCCTTAATCTTGCGGAGTAGCTAGCCTCGGCAAAACGATTTTGCGATAGCTAGACCGGAAATGAGACTTGCGCGAACAAAAGGAACAAAAATTCGATCGATAGATCGAAGAATTGTTCGAATATACATAGTTACACGCGAATACATACGAAGAAGCATCCAAAATTTCCTCTCGAACATTGAGATGATTAAACGCACCCATTTTCGTAATCGAATTAAATTTTCAAGAAATTATTTATGTAATTAAATTAAATTTATGTAAGAAAATTAAAATTTATGATTCTCGAAATAATCTTTAGTAAAATAATGCGATGTTTTCGTTTAGGTATTTCCGAAATGATTATTTAATATTTGTTAGGATTTTTACACACAATCGCATCATTCAATTCAAATATCCGGAAATTTTCAAAATCATTGTAATTTTTGGAAATACCTGTTGCAAGTACCAATTTTATGCGTCCAATTTAAGGAAATATATTATATTTTAAAATGTAATGATAATTTATGTATAAATATGTTTCTAATGCATATTTCTTTTTTTTTAATTACAAATTACACTTTCAATGAAAACAAATATTACTATTATAATGTAGTAGATGTGGAAATTACACTACACTTCGACTACACCTCGAACACTTATTGCAAATTGATTTAAATAATATAGCTTTCGATATTAATACTTTTGTTGTGTAATCCTAAATAAAGTTAACTTCACCCGAAGGTCATAATATAGCAAGTCCTTGAATTTATTTCTTCGTCAGCAATAATCTTACGAAGTCAAAAATAAAAGTAATAAAATATTAATAAAGTATTACTAAAGTATTAATAAAGTATTACGAAAGTATTAATAAAAATTCAAGCAACAATGTAAATATACGTGGCCCGGTCTAGCAGGTCGGTACAAAAAAGCATAAATCTACCTGGCCCGTCCTAGGAAGACAAAATGACAAAACGTAAATTTGCGTGACCCGTTCGTTAAATGTTAATTAAAATAAATACAACGATTACAAATAATATGAACACTTTCGAATGATTTGGTCACTTCGAAGCTCTATAGTCATCTCCAAAATGAATAAACGGTTAAAAAAGGTCACGGTAAATCATAATCTATACGATTAATGACCTATTAGCAATCAAATTTTTCATTACAGAGACTTTTTTTAATAAAATAACTTGTTTCCGCGTTCTCGAGGTAAATGCCCCACTGTGTGACGCGGCGACGAAAGAGGAAGGAGCCGTGTAGCGCGGGAACAGCTCCGGAGTGCGTTTACGCAGGAAACCGGAGGCGTTGCATGCATAAATCACGATTACGTTTCCCCGTGGTCGGCCGATCTTTCGTCAAATACCTGTTGCACTTGTTGACCAACGCAACGAGATAACCTACGGGGTCAACCGGCACGCGCCGGTATTTTCCTTTTTATCGATCCTGCCAACGCCGCATGATGCGCCTCCTCTAATTTACCTGCTGTCAGATAAGACAGCGCAAATCCAGTTTTCCCCGGTGGCTGCTGGCAGCGAGCGGTTCTGCCGTGAGGCTTGCGTTGCGAGCCGTGAGCCGGTGAGCCGTGAGCCATGAACGGTGAGCCATGAGCAGTGAGCACGGTGAGCAGCGTGCCGTGAGGCAGCACGCGGCACGTGCAGCGAATAGAATTCAAATGCGCCGCTAGAGAAATTCCTTCGACCGGTGATCACGATCCCCGCCTCAAACTGCGCTCCGAGCTACGTGCTCTTGCTCTTACACGCCGGGGACACGAATTTCACGAGCTACCGCGGCCAACTCGATCCTCCGCCGATCGCTGATCGCCGATCACCGATCGCCAACTCCGACTGACCCAGGTATAATTGCTTTCGGAGAGTGGGCCATGGGATCCCAGCGATCTCGAACTTTTCTGACTTTGATGGACACCGAAGTTATTATGGGATTCTTCCTACGATCCATCAGAGTCCTCGTCACGATTAATTAAACCCTCCATCCGACAATGAGAAGAATTTCTTCTAATTGCTTTCAACTGCTCGCGTCCGTCCGATTTCGCGGAAGTTTCTATCCTGGATTAATTGTGGGACGTTCGCATCGCTTTCCAATTAGTTCAAAGATAGGTATCCTGATCGGGCTCGATCGATTGGTGGATTCGTAGGTTTCTGCTGCTTTGCCCCGCGTTTATTTCGCGTCGATCCTGAACTATTCACAATCGATTGGTAAGTTAGCGTGGTTTTAAAATTTTTTTTTAATTTTCCGCACAATATTTTGCCTAACAGTTGTGTCTCGTAAGAAAGGAAGTGATTAATTTTATAAGAACTATGGAGTATCAAGTAAACTCGAATAAACATGTCCAAAATGAAGGTAATTTTCAGGATCTTCTTATAAGAAAAGTAAATAGAATGATGGTATAGGGTTTTGGACATTTGGTTATGTATCTTTTGAGCATATAAAAATTATATAATTTTTTATTTTATGTAACTGTTAAGAATTAACGGACCTTATTATTCTGTAGGGGTTGTCAACAAATTTTCGTTGAACGGTAGCACGTTTAGCACCTTGACCGTAAATCCGGAACCAAAAACTCAAATATGTATATTCTCAAATTGCATCGTATTTCCGAGGCAGCGAACCTATGAATATATACAAAAAAATCCTTCCTTTAATCATTTTTTGGCATTTTAAAGTGAAACATCAATATTTTTTTTATCAATTTGCCATAATTCTACATTCCTTAAAAGTTAGTCAATTTGAAGAAACTGTTAATGTTCGCTGCATGCGGAAAAGTATTTTCTTTAATTTAAAAAAAAAATCACTTAAATTAATCGATTAGTTCCAGATATTTTCCATCGGATTCTAATCTGATAGCCACACACAGTGACTATTCGAATGAATTCTTTTTAGTCGAATATTTTATTCGAATAACAATTATTCATTGTTCCTAATAAATTGTTCTATCTATTTATTCAAATAATTCTTCATTTTTTATTCGAATAAATTGTTCGTAATTTTTTAAGCTATGTGTTGTAAATATGAATCATGGAATGTAAGTATAATGATTTCTTTAAACCCGAAGAAAGATTATTTAGTCATGCATCAATGATCCATTTACTCCAAAGTAACGCCAGTAGCTGTATCTAAAAAGACAATAAATTTCATTTGCAAACATGATTTGTTATGTTATCTCGTTTCACGTTACGTTAAGCATTTTTTAATATTCTATCTTATGTTTTATGTCACACACACACTGTTTTATTTGAATTGTGAAGTCTATTATTTAAAATAGTATATTAAATATTTTCTCTATAAATATTACACAGCTCTAGAATATTTTCGTTTAGATATTTCAAGGCTTAGAATATTTAGAGTCTATGTTGCGTTGGCAGCAAGCAAATTTACTTTAATCAAGCATCACAAAACGCTACATTAATTTTCATTCCTCGAGATGTGACCAAGTTGAGCAACATGAAAATTCCAGTTCATGCGCAATAGTAACTGTAGTTTCTAGAACAGTCCCTGTATGCATACGTTCCTCGAAAACTCTGTAGTACCGATAGTTTGAAACTAGTTCGACAACTGCTGTCTCAAAGTATGAAGTGAACCATGTTGCTGCGAGTACGTCTGATGCAGAAATCTCGAGGATCACTCAAGACTGGAATACAACGTGTCCCGAGTACAAACTTCGGTTGAAAGAATGGCAACTAATCGACCATGAAATCGAGTAATTCGAGGCGATTATACTCATGCGTGAAATCTTGTAACTTGGGATACAAAACACGGAGCGTAATAAAATATTTTCTGAATTTTCGTGTAAACGACCGAAGTTATCCAACCTTAAAGGAAACATTCCGTCTTCGTGTGTGCATTCGTGCGTGTCTCGTCATTCTTCTATATTATTTATAGGTGATGGATAGACTATTGTTTTTAAGGTAACTTCTTCGTATTCTTGCAGTGTATGGACAAGCTGTGCAAGTTATACCAAGCATCGACCCAAATGACTTCTTTCGTGTTAACCGACTTCAATGAAACTCTAAGATCGTCATGTTGTGTATTGTGCAACGTTAACAATTGTTTGTAATTTCAACGTCTCGGTGTTAATATCCCGTTGAAATCTCTAATTGAACCACCCATTTCTTCTTTCGAGTCGTACCCTTTATTCCGTTCACGAATCCGCGAGATCGAAAATTCGTCTCGCGAAAACAAGACGAAAGGCACAGGACGCGCCGCTGGTGTACACGTGCTTTGTTACAAAGATGGAACCTTAAAACGCCGATAAACAACGGGAATCGGCAAGGAAGATGTCGCAAAATCCTCCATCCGTCCGTTATCATGAAATTTGAATAACGCAGCGACCTGAC